ATAGATGGTCACGGTTTCATGACCATGGACATTGGATGTCGTTGATAACGGGATCACATCATTAGGAGAATGATGTGATGGACAAGACCCAATCCTAAGCCTAGCACAAGATCATGTAGTTCGTATGCTAAAGCTTTTCTAATGTCAAGTATCATTTCCTTAGACCATGAGATTGTGCAACTCCCGGATACCGTAGGAGTGCTTTGGGTGTGCCAAACGTCACAACATAACTGGGTGGCTATAAAGGTACACTACAGGTATCTCCGAAAGTGTATGTTGGGTTGGCATGAATCAAGACTGGGATTTGTCACTCCGTGTAAACGGAGAGGTATCTCTGGGCCCACCCGGTAGGACATCATCATAATGTGCACAATGTGACCAAGGAGTTGATCACGGGATGATGTGTTACGGAACGAGTAAAGAGACTTGCCGGTAACGAGATTGAACAAGGTATCGGGATACCGACGATCGAATCTCGGGCAAGTATCGTACCGATAGACAAAAGGAATTGTATACGGGATTGATTAAGTACTTGACATCGTGGTTCATCCGATGAGATCATCGTGGAGCATGTGGGAGCCAACATGGGTATCCAGATCCCGCTGTTGGTTATTGACCGGAGAACGTCTCGGTCATGTCTGCATGGTTCCCGAACCCGTAGGGTCTACACGCTTAAGGTTCGATGACGCTAGGGTTATAAAGGAAGTTTGTATGTGGTTACCGAATGTTGTTCGGAGTCCCGGATGAGATCCCGGACGTCACGAGGAGTTCCGGAATGGTCCGGAGGTAAAGATTTATATATGGGAAGTCCTGTTTTGGTCACCGGAAAAGTTTCGGGGTTTATCGGTAACGTACCGGGACCACCGGGAGGGTCCCGGGGGTCCACCAATTGGGGCCACCAGCCCCGGAGGGCTGCATGGGCCAAGTGTGGGAGGGGACCAGCCCCAGGTGGGCTGGTGCGCCCCCCTACCAAGGCCCAAGGCTCAAGGAAGAGGGGAAGGGGGCAAACCCTAGGGCTGATGGGCCCTAAGGCCCACCCTGGTGCGCCTCCCTCTCCCCCTCCACCTGGCCGCACCCTAGATGGGTTTTTGGGGGCTGCCGCCACCCCCAGGGAGGGAACCCTAGGTGGGGGCGCAGCCCCTCCCTTTCCCCTATATATACTTGAGGTTATGAGGGTTGCAACACATATGATTTGATCTCTCCCTGGCGCAGCCCTACCTCTTCCCTCCTCGTCTCTTGCGGTGCTTGGCGAAGCCCTGCTGGAGTACCACGCTCCTTCACCACCACCACGCCGTTGTGCTGCTGCTGGATGGAGTCTTCCTCAACCTCTCCCTCTCTCCTTGCTGGATCAAGGCATGGGAGACGTCATCGGGCTGTACGTGTGTTGAACGCGGAGGTGTCGTCCGTTCGGCACTAGGATCTCCGGTGATTTGGATCACAATGAGTACGACTCCTTCAACCCCGTTCTCTTGAACGCTTCCGCTTAGCGATCTACAAGGGTATGTAGATGAACTCTCCTTCCCCTCGTTGCTGGTTTCTCCATAGATAGATCTTGGTGACACGTAGGAAAATTTTGAATTTCTGCTACGTTCCCAAACAAGGACAACAATATAACCACAAGAAAATTAAATCAATCATAGTAATTCACCAATCACCGATAGGACAACGAAAATCTACTCAGACATCATAGGATGGCAACACATCATTGGATAATAATATGAAGCATAAAACACCATGTTCAAGTAGAGGGTACAACGGGTTGCGGGAGAGTGGACCGCTGTAGATAGAGGGGGGAAGGTGATGGAGATGTTAGTGAAGATGGCGGAGATGTTGGTGAAGATCACGGTGATGATGATGGCCCCGACGGTGTTCCAGCGCCACCGGAAGCGAGGGGGAGAGAGCCCCCCTTCTTCTTCTTCTTCCTTGACCTTATCCCTAGATGGGAGAAGGGTTTCCCTCTGGTCCATGGTCTCCATGGCGTGGGAGGGGCGAGAGCCCCTCCGAGATTGGATCTATCTCTCTGTCTCTCTCTGTTTCTTCGTTCTCAGATTTTGCCCTTTCACCGTTTCTTATGTTTCCGGAGATCCGTAAATCCGATTGAGCTGAAATTTTAACACGATCTCTATCCAGATATTAGCTTTCTTGCGGCGAAAGAAGGGCACCAACCGCCTTACGGGGTGGCCACGAGGGTCAGGGGCGCGCCCCCTGCCTCGTGGGCTCCTCGAGCATCGTCTCGCGTTGATTTCACTTCCCAAAATTCACATATATTCCAAAAATAGTCTCCGTCAGTCTTTATCCCGTTTGGACACCGTTTGATATGGATTTTCTGCGAAACAAAAAAAAATGCAACAAACAGGAACTGGCACTGGGCACTGGATCAATATGCTAGTCCCAAAAATAGTATAAAAAGTTGCCAAAAGTATATGAAAGTTGTATAATATTTGCATGGAACAATACAAAATTATAGATACGACGGAGACGTATCAAGCAGCAGAGATCGCGGGCTGAAGATAGGTCTATCATCGAGAAAGAAAACTAGAAATTGCAGATGTTGAAATAGATGGTTGCACATCTTTATGCCATGAGCGACAAAACTATGCTGGTATCACCAACCCACCTTACAAATGATCCTGCCTTGGACATGGTGAGTTCTCTTCGAACTTATTTACTCATGTGCTTACAGGTCATTCCATCAATTGGGTCTAACAATGTGCCAGTAGCTAAACCTGGAGTCGGGCAAGCAATCCCAATAGCTACTTTCGATGTTCCCGTTCCAAACCCCAAAACCGTGTGAACTCCTAGTTATGTTCATGAACTTTGTGCTTTCCTAGGCATGCACTTGTGGTTTTTACTTGCTATGCTTGAGAACATTGTGTTTGTGTGCTTGAGACGTTGTATTTGTGCTATTTGAGATCACATTTTGTTATGTATGTTGTGCAATGGTGTTTGACTATAATGTGGCAATGGTTGAGTCATTTGAGAAGTGATATTGTTGCTGTATATATGTGGGATATTATTTGTATGTGATTTGTTGCAGGGCTAAAAAATATGTAAAAATTAGCCCCTGCCAGAGGATTTGTTGAGTTCCTTACTCGGCTAAACATTTTTACCGAGTGAAACACTCAGCAATAAAGCCACGTGGCGTGACCTCGTATCTCGTTCTGGTCATTGCCGAGCTGGTTCCTTAAAATCACGACAAAAATAACATGTGTTACTACTGACATAGCTTTGTCGAGGGTGAAACTCAGCAACAGAGGAGAGACTCGGCAAACTGTGCAAGTCTTTGCCGAGTATCTGCTTGTGTACTCGGCGAACAATGCGATGATTTGCCATCTACCAAAGAAAGAATCTCGGTGAATAGTCCAAATTTGCCGAGTGTCAGTATAAAAATCTCGGTGAAGACTAAAATTTGCCGAGTACAGACTCGAGGGGTCTCGGCGAATAAGGCATCTCGACACTATATGGCTGCCACGTGTCTCGCTCCGGGGCTTCCGAATTCGCCGAGTCTGCACAATTGGCTCTCAGCAAAGAGGTCTGCCACATGGCAGCCGCCGTCTCCGTCTGGCCCGTCAAATACCTTTTTTGTGCCGAGTCCCGTGTTTAGTGCTCGGAAAATACTTTTTTAGAACTAAGGCTCAAGAAAAGCCCGGCTTTGAATTAACAAGGCCATCAACCGGCCAGGAGATACAAACACCCACAGTTACAACGAAGCATAGCAAACAAGCAAAAGAAAAGGAAAACAAAAAAAGACGGCAGATACAAGGTGATGCCCGAAACAACTTCCTAGCCCCAACATGTACAAGCAAACAGGAAATAAGCAGTACAGACTAGCTTGATGTTGCCGAAGCCCTTCAATGCGCGAGTGGAGCACCATAACCCTGACAGAGAGCAAACTTCAGGGGGAGTTACAGCCCAGCAAAGATGGACATGCCCTCATCTACTCCGATAGGTGGACGCCGTCCTCGTACTGACCCTCTCCACTTCCGAAGGGGACCCCTGCCCCTCGCCCTGGATCGAAGGGCGCCGTACCGTTGGCAAGTGGCAATGCTCCCCTGAGCAAGGATTGGTACAAGCTTCCAGGTCACCATGGGAGATTCTCAGCACGACCCACCTGCTGCGCTAAGAACACCAAACGAAGAGCCTCATCAAGACACAATAACCCACACCCAAGGAAGAGAAGCTGTTGTTGAGCGAGGTTGAAGAAGAACTTGCAAGCAGAGGATCCAAGGCAGCCAATGCAGATAGCAGGACAGCACCCGCTGGAATCAGCACCAAGTTCAAGCCTTCCATGCCCTATTGCTGCCAACGGGGAAAGAACCCTATCTTCATCCCGTCCATGCCATGGCACTGAGAGCCGGCGAGCAAACAACCACAAGTCATACAACGGACAACCAAACAGCAGAGCACTGCCCCAACAAGAAGACCATGGCGCCACCTCCACCTGCAAAGCCGCCACACACTTGACAACCACACCCATCGCCCCTGCACACCCCCAACTCACCCAAGGCGGCACCTTCAGGAAGATGACGACGCGTCATTGCAAGAGGAAAGAGGTTGGGCGAGGGTGGGAGCGGGAACACCTAGATGTAGGGTTTTAAGGACCTCACGCTGGAGTGGTTTGTAAGTGATCGCTCAACCCTCAGACTTCGATCACCCAACCAAAAGTAACCGATTTGTTAGTTGAGGTTTTGTACAGTTTCATTGTCGAGGGACCAAACATTATAAATGGATCGACGAAAAATATACTTTTCTAGTAGAAAGCAAGGATAATTGAAATGATTATCGACAGACTATGGTAAACAGATATCACAAAGGATTAGGTTCTTGCAGAGTGATCGGACATGAGAAACAAACTAACTAGACCTGGTGGGTGGATATTGATCATTCACCTTCAGCCACCTGCTAGTGATCGACTAAATTGATATAGCAAACTAAACCTAAGAGGAGTATTCATCATGGATCTTGAGCTACAAGGATGCCTGCAGAAGGAGTTTAGGTAGCTAGCGGCTGTTCCACCAGTCATGTAACTGCTGGGACCAACTCTTCTTTCCAGACCACCAATCCTCGAAATCATCCAGCCCGTTCCTTCGTTTCAGCCGTATCTCCTTGCTCAAAATCTGCACGCCGCCCTCTGCAGTCTTCAAAACCAGAGTAAATACCCCCCAAATTATCACAAATCGCTTCATCCTCTCCATCCTCCACCGCCACATCCTAGTTAATAATCAAGCGACCAATCAATGATATACGAGAGAAACACCATGATGTAATAATTTCTAGAAGCAGAAAGAAAAAAAGAACCGAACAAACCAGTAGACATCATTGGGTCTGGGCTGGACTTGCACCGAGAGCAGCTCCAACAGCTCTTTGTTCTCTCGGCGGACACCGCGAGGGAGATCGTACTCGGTTGCCAAGGAAAAGCCCATGTTGTAAAGCTCCTCTTTCTTCACCTTCATCTCCGCCAAGCGGATCGCGAGAGGTTGCTTGGCCTGAGGGGCGGTGGCCTGCTTGCATGCAGGGCGAAGAATAAGATCCACCACAAAATAGATACTAGATACTAGTACAATCTTTGATCACAGCACGACATTCAGAGGGAGAGAAATCCAAGGTTGCACGCACGCTCGTGTCCGCGAAGAGCCGCCGTTGCGGATCCGAGAAGACGCGCCGCCCTTGCTGTTGAGTTCGTCGGAGCAGCATGCGACCGCCGAGCCTTAGGGCCGCCGCCGCCGCCGCCGCCATGGCTATTAATCCTAGCTAGTTTCGATTTCTAGTTTTTCGGATAGGGTCTGGTCTGCAACGACCGACCACGTATTATATCTACTATATGTTTTATTGTTTGAGAGGTTTTCCTTTCGAGTCCTCCTCTACCACAAAACACGTAGCGGCCTGGATCTTGAAAGGAGATCGTTTTTTTTTTTTTTGAGAAATCTCGCCACTTTATTAGATGATAGAAATGTTCATAGATACACGGGTCTGGTCATGGGGGATTCCCAACTAAACATATCGACCTACATCTAAGTTACAAGTAAACTTGGCGAGATTGTGAGCCTCGAAGTTGTTGTTTCTACTCTTGAAAGGAGATCGAATTAAGAGGGAGAGAGAGATCCTGGCTAAGCCCAAAGCCGAGGAATCAGCCCAAGCCCAATCTGGAAAGTCCACTTGGTTAGGTCTGGACCATGAAGCCTACTCGATTGAGCCGAATCCTATTTGACGCCTTAAGCGGGGTACACCTATTTCTCGATTTCTGTGAGAGCGAGGGAATGCTCGCTGAAGCGGATGGCGAATTGCGCCGGCCAAGGCGCGAGAGAGGCCACAGCCTCATTTTCCTCTTCTTTTTCATGTTTTCTGATTTATTTTTTGCTTTATTTTTGTACTTTTGTTTATAATTTAAAATTTGAAACATGTTGAACAAATATTTGAAAATGTTGAACAAGTAATTGAAAAAATATTGATCATGTATATAAAAATGTTAATCAAGCATTTTAAAAACAAATCCTGAACAAGTATTTGAAAACTGTTAAATGTGTATATAAAAAATGTGACCATGTCTTAAAAAATGATGAATTTTATTGATCGTGTATATAAAAATGTTAATCAACCATTTGAAACAATGTTGAACAAGTATTTCAAAGTGTTAATCAAGCATTTCATAAATGTTAAATGTGCATAGAAAGAATGTTGATCATGCATTGAAGAAATGATGAATCTTTTGAATCATGTATATAAAAAAAGTTAATGAAGCATTTGAAAAAAAATGTCGAACAAGTATTTGAAAAATATTAATCAAGCATTAGAAAATGTGTATAGAAAAAATGTTGACCATGTATTTAAAAATTAAGATTTTTTTATCATCTATATAAGAATGTTAATCAAGAATTTGAAAAATTGTTGAACAAGTATTTCAAAAATGTTAATCTAGAAATTAGAAAATGTTAAATTTGCAAATAACAAATGTTTACCATGTATTAAAAAGTGTTAAATTTTTATTGTAGGAATTTTAAATGTGTATTAGAAAAATGTTGTTGACATATACCAAAAGAAACAAAGAGAACAATAAAATAAAACCCAAAAAGAAACGAAATAAACCAAAGAAAAAAAGAAAGAAGAGCAAAGAAGCAAACGCAATAAAAATTGAAAAAGGAGGAGAAAAAAATGAAAAGAAATAAAATAAAACAATGAAAGAAAGCAAAAAAGAAAACCAAAGAAAAAAGAAAGAAAATAAAAAAACTAATGAAAAGAGACAAAAAGCCGAGATTAAAAAAAAGGGAAAAACGGAGAACAAACAATGGAAAACCCAGGCTTGTTTCGACTAAAGAACAAGCACCTAACTTGTACACCACAAACAGAAGCCTTGCCCACTAGCTAGTCGCGCTTCCCCTTAACCAGGAGGGCAGGGTCTGAATCCTTCTAGCGCCCATTTTCCCTCTTCCTTTCCCTTTATTAATTGCACGCGAGTGCGTCGGCCCAATTACTATGCAGATGGAACAGCGAGAGAGACTTTTCATTTGGCTTAATGCAATAAATAGTTGCCGCATTAAAGCACCCCTTTCTTCGATTCTCGCAAAGGGGCGCACACCCCCTTCGCACGCTTGGTCGGCCCATATTACTTTTTTCTTTTGTTTCTCCAAAATGCAAAAAACAATGAGACTGTTGTGACTTGAATAGCCGATATCTTGATACATTGTACGATGCTCTAACCACACGACCAACCAAACCTGATGCGATAGGTTATAACCTTTTCGCTCTATTCTTCTTTCCTTCTTTCCTTTTTTTGGAATGGTTTCCTCATTTTTTTTTCTTTTTCTTTTTTCTTTTCTCTTTCATCCTTCTCGCCCCCAATTCTCCTCTTCTTTTTTCCTTTATTACTTGCATGCGTGTGGGCCGGCCCAATAACTGCGCACATGCTGCAGCGAGTGAAACTTTTCATCTGGCTTAATACGATAAATAGTCGCCGCGTTAAAGCGCCGCTTTCTTCGATTCTCGCAAAGGGGCGCACACCCCCTCCACCGCGCTTGGCCGGCCCATATTACTTTTTTTCTTCTTCAGGTTTTTCAAAACACAAGAAACTGTGAGACTGCTATGGTTCGAAAAGCCGATATCCTATACATTGTATGATGCACTAACCACACGACCAACCAAACCTGATGTGGTTAGTTACAACTTTTTCGGTCTACTCTTCTTACGCTTTTTTTTCCTTTTTTGGAATGCTTTCCAATTTATTTTAGTTTTCCTTTTTTTTTCTTTCCTTTTTTATAAATACATGAACTTTTTAAAAAATTGAAGAAATTTTCTCAAAATTTATAAACTCTCTTTAAATAGATGAACTTATTTTAAAATCGATGAACTATATTTACAAATTCAATGATCTTTTAAAAAAATTGATGAATTTTGTCTTTAAATTTGAGAACTTTTTTCAAAAGTGATGAACTATTTCTCCAACTCCATGATATTTTTTCAAAATTGATGAATTATTTCTTCAAATTTGTGAAACTTTTTCAAAATTGATGAACTATTTTTCAAACTTCATGAACTTTTTGTCAAAACATATGAACTTTTTCAATATTTATTTAGTTTTTCAAAATTGATGAACTTTTTAAAAGTTTGTGACTTTTTTCAAAAAAATGATGATTTCTTTTGAAAATCGATGAACTTTTTTGAAGTTTGTGTACTGATCTTCAAAAATGGTGAACTTTTTCTAATACATGAATGTTTTAAAATAAATCAAAAATCTACATTGCACGGCCACACTTGTTCTTATATTAATAGTGCGATTATCCACAACTGTCCAATGGTTCCATTGGTTAGGTAAGCATGAATAGGTATGTGGCAACGCGGGTTCGAACTTGGGACCTCCTATATGCCGCTTATTGCGGCAAAGAGTCATTGAGTCACACAGAAGTTAGCTGACCTGGGCCGGCCCATCCGCGGTAGCGCGGTGTTAAAAATCAACAAAACAGAAAAGTATCCGGTAAAAAAACACCGTTCCCTCTAGTTAGGGTTTATCTTCCTCTCGTCACCGTCGGCGATGTTGAGATCGGTCTGCCCTTCATGCCATTAAACCTGGGTCTTGGACTCAGGCAGAAGCAAGAGGGAGAGATCTGTTTCCCTGGCTCCCCTGTTGGTTTCTCATCGAGGGGCTAGGGTTTCTTCGTTCCACAGCAACCACGCAAGAGTTTTGCCCTCGCTCCGCGATGGCGAACAAGGGCGATCCGTCAGGCTCGAGATCCAAGGGCAAGGGCAAGTTGGAGGATCTGATGCAGGAGCTGGCGCTGAAAGAGGATGATCTAGATGATGTGATCTTTGAGGAAGATGATGAGCCGGCAGAGGAAGAACTCCGGTGGATGATTCTGGCCTGGGTTCACATGGATAAGGACTATAGTTCGTACTGGTTCTTTCGAAACATGAGGACGGCTTGGGACCTTGCTAGGCCGGTTAAGATCAAAACCCTAGAGGAAAACCTTTTTCAGATGCAGTTCGACTGCCTAGGGGATTGGGAGCGGGTCACGCAAGGAGGACCGTGGCACTTCAGAGGAAACCCTGTGATCATTGCTCCGTATGATGGCTACACAAAACCCTTTGAGATCGAGTTGTTCGAGTTTGAGATCTGGGCAAGAATTATTGATCTCCCGATCGCTTTTCATGGTAAAGTCAAGGCACTAGCCTCAAAGTTCGGCGAGTTCGTAGAGTCAGAACCATCATCCTTTGATTTTGAGGGGAATTTCTACAGAGTAAGGGTCAGGCTTGACGCGCGCAACCCTTTGAAGAAGGCAACCTCGTTGATTCGAGGGGGTGAGAGACAGATTTTTGCTGTCAAGTACGAACGCCTGCCAGATTGGTGTCAAGTTTGCGGCATGATGGGTCATGAGTACAAGGAGCATGGCAGTGGGGTTCACCCGCCTTCGGCCCTAATCTTCAAAAACCTCCGAGCTCCGGCCACAACAGCTTGGGGTACTAGGCGCCGCAACAGAAACCAGAGGAACAGGACTTCAAACCAACAAGGGTCGGGCCAGCAAGCTACGAAGGAGGATGATGATCCTAAGCAAGAGAAGATGGAGACGGAGGATTCTGATGCCAATCGCAAACGTCCTTCTGATGAGGTGCAGGGTTTGCAAAACCACAAAGGAAATACGGGGCTGGAAGTGGTGCTCTCCGGCAAGAACGGATCTGCTACCCCAATCAGCCCTCCTCCAAAACAAGACCCGAAGAGGCCAAAAACTTCGCAGTCAGAAAAACCAAGCGGTGGAGTGGGGAAGAAGATCCCTAGTACGGGAGAGAGCTCGGACGCGAGAACGGCGGCCTCCCCGGCGGAGGACCGCCGGACGCAATGAGTCTTTTAAGCTGGAACTGCCGGGGTATTGGCAACGCCCCGACAGTTCAAGAGCTTCGCGAACTCGCGATTAAGTTTGCCCCTAAAGTTCTTTGTATTATGGAAACCTAGATAGATAGGGTTAGAGCTGAAAATCTAAAGAGCACTTTAGGATATGATAATTCTTTTGCTGTTGATTCCTCCGGCCGCAGTGGAGGGTTAGCAATTTTTTGGAATGATGAAATAAAGATCGAGATTTTGGGTTACTCTAAGTACCATATTGATGGGAAAATTTCTGGTCTCGGTGATAATACATGGAGGCTCTCGTGCTTCTATGGAGAGGCCCAGACTCATCTCCGGCATCATACCTGGGACACACTGAAGAACCTCTCAACACTCCAAGATCTTCCATGGGTGTGTGTGGGAGATTTTA